CATTTAACTGCAAATCTTGTAAAGATGTGGAATAAGCCTTTAAATAAATTCATCTTTTATTGCAGAAGCAGATTCGCATTGTTAAATATTTCTATTAATCTAATATGTAATTTGAGTATAATTTATTCAGCAGAGGGGAAAAAATACCTTAGAAAATATAATGTTTTTCTCTGACTATTTTTTTTTTTTTTTTTTTTTTTTAAATTCTGTCGTTTGATTTTCTATCTGAACAGTGGATTTCAGAAGCTTTCAAACCTCAAATGACAAGCACAAGACAGTTTCTTGGATGTTTTACCCTTTTGTTCCTTTTAGAAATCAATCATTACCAATGCAATTTGCAACACTGATTTCGACAAAATTAATATTCATGCTGTCACTTGTTTTGTGAACTTTTTGTCGTTGTTTTGTAGAAATAGTTTCACTTAACATTGAAGTGTTTTTCGGTCAAAAACGTCAAATTTTGCTGATCCTGATTGATTTGTAAAAGCAATAAGAGGGTGAAGCATCCAGGTGGATGGATACTTTTAATATCCATCCACCTGGAAGTGTGGTAGGAAATGGCTCAACATTTGCTCTTTTTTTTTCTACTATTGAATGAATATAATCAAATTAAACATTAAAATTTCATTGGAGAGTTTATTTTAGACGTTTTTACTCAGTGTCCCATAAATGTAACAAGTTCTGTATTTCATCTTCTACAAACTGAAACCTTAAATCTGATGCTTTGTCAAAATTTTAGACTGAAATTAAAAAAAATGAAGTGAGCAACAAAGAAAATGACCCAGTTGATGTAACATTGCAGCTTGTTTTCATTTGTTTCTTTTAGCTGAAGATCAGGATGCGATGAAGGAAGTGGCGGACCGGGTGATCGGGATCGCCGATGAATTTCAGTTCACTCCCGTCATTGATTCTGATGGCAAGTCTCTTACTTCTAGTTTGAGCCCTAAAATGTTGTTCCTTTGAATTAAAAAATTTAATTTCTGTAAAATCTTTACCAGGGGAAACTGATGAGGGGAAGATAGAAGATGACTTGGAGAAGGCGATTGGTCTGCTGCTGAGGGCACAAGGCGACGAGCTGGTCAAGAAGGTAAGGAAATTACAGTAAATCGAGTTCTTCCAGGAAGTCCGGCTGCACATGACTAGTGTTTAGTATTATTATGTAATGGAGGAGTTTCCACTTGCAGTCAACAATAAAACACTGACTCAGTCAGTTATGGCTCCTTCAGGGTTCATAGGTTGAATTATTGTCACAGTTTTATCAGAAGCTATAAAAAGAATAAATATAAACAAGAGGTCCTATATTTCACTAAAACATGATTTTTAAAAAGATAAATAGCAACTGGATCTGTTTCATGTTTTATTGATTTTAACTCTGTCAAAATGAAATTAAAATTTTGAAAATTCGATCAAAGTGGGCGGAGCCAGGTGACACAGAGGGGCGTGGCTACATCTACAGATGGGGGGGGGGGCTACGTGGGGTTATCAGAAGCGTTGCTGCTTATTTATAAACTTTCTCACTGTATTTACCAACTTTTTGATTAACAAAAACCAACAATTGATAAACCTGGTGACATTTTTCTGTGTTGTTGGAGACTTTTTATGGAGACAACGATCTAATTTTGGTGGTTAGTTACACAGTTAAAACGTTTTTTTCCCAAAACTAACCAGTTTATTTTTATGTCCACCCACAGTTTCCCCTGGCGGACATTCCTGCAGACCTTTTTTTAGACTACAGCTTCTTTGCGAGGCTCCTCAACACATTTCTGATCAGGATCGGCTTCAGGAGACCGGACGCTGACGCCTTAGGACCCCAAGCAGCCAACAGAACCCAAATCGCTGCCGCCTTAGAGGTGACAGCAGCTTTTTGCTTCACAGCTTTGCAGTTTGTACCTTTTAATGGCAGTATTTTGTCTCATACAAATGTTTTTCTTTTCTTTTTTTTTTATCATCAGATAACAAGTCGTCTCGCCTCTGTGGAGGCGTTGCCCAAAGTCAAGTTATGTAAACATGGAGCTCGATATCTGCAGGAATATTATTCATCGTGGGCTCAGGAGCAGGGCGGATACGTAAGTACATCCTCACTTCCTGCTTTAAATTCCCAGAAAAAGGGAAAATACCATATTTGGGAAGGACACAATTGCACTCCAGAGCTGTAGGGGGCGCTATTTAATATTTACTGGAGTCTCTTTTTTGTTTTTGTTTGCGTCATCATCCATAAAACAATATTTTATATTCAACTAATTGAGTTTGTTGGTTCCACTTCTCTTATTCTTGTTTTATTAAAGCTGCTATTTGCAATAAAAGTATAATTTTAGGTCTTTGCTGCAATAATGTGGGAATATAAATAACTGCAAATGTTCATAAAATGTACCTATATTTTAATTTTGTTTTACAATGTTTGTAAAATATTGTTCAGACATAGAAATTAAAAATAAAATAAATCGAGTTTGTAATGTTTCAAAATAAAAAAGAGTTTCTGTTTAAAATGGTGCCCCTTTTAGCTCTTTAGTCCCATTCTTTTTTTAAGTCTATTAATAATATATATAAATAAATCACAGATTACATTCAAAATAAAACATTCATTATAAATAATACTTAATAATAAACTCCACTAATTACAGGGGAAATTAAAGAAGCAAGGATTACATAAAAAGCAATTTTACATAACTTAAAAAAGCATTTGTGATATAAACACATCAAAATATCAGTGAGTTATATTTTTTAAAGCAAATTTATTGAAAAAAAATGGCAAAAACAAATGTAGTATACAGAAAAATACAACACAAAAATTCACATATACAAGTTGTTCTGAGAGCCTTTTAATTGGTACAGTATGTTGTCAGCAATGACTGGAAATAGAAAATAGCGCCCCCTTTAGTTCCGGAGTAGTTCCATTTCCTAATATGGCACCACTTCCTGTTTCTGTGTCTAAGTAAGTTTACCCAGTTCTTCTAAACCTTCTGAAACGTGTTTGATCTTTCTCCAACAGGAGGCAGTGTTTCCTGATGAAGAGGAAGTTGACTGATTTGGAAGTTGATTATTCATTACAAGAACAACAACAAAAAAAGTCTTAAAATGGTGCAAAGAAGAGAATCACTCAGGACCTTCATCGTTTACAAGGAGCAGTTTTCTTTCTGCTTGGACCAAAGTTTAAGAGGAAATTCTTTTCACATTAATTTAATGGAAAGCACTTATTGTACAGACTACCATCAACAAAAATTAATTTATTTAATTACATAAAACATTATGTCTTGTTAACGCACCTGCACTTTTATAAAAAAAGAAACAATATGTTAAGTTTTTTTCTTTTTTATGTTAATGTTATTTTGTTACCAATAAGTGTAAACATTAAATTCTATTTTTGAATAAAAACATTTTGTGGTACTATATCAGTTTTCTTATTTCACAAAGATAATAAATTAAGGTTTTTATATCTACAAAAAATGCCCGAGTCGAACACACAGCCAAAAAAAAGGTTCACACAATATTTTTATATTTTTTAACCATAAAATTACAGTAAAAGTAGCTGTAATTAAAAGCTTTAATTACAGCTACTTTTACTATAATTTTATTTTGATAAACTCCAATTATCTTGTACTGAGTATGAGAAAATAACTGTGAAAATCCCTCTCTGGAATATCTTAAAGTTTACTCAACTTGTTCAGATTAATTCAAATAAGAACATAGTTGTATAAAATGAGCCATAAGTCGTTGAAGAAAATGTACACAAAACAAAATTGCTCCTGCTCCTGTTTTATGGAATAACTTACCTTTCCAGATTAGATCTGCCCACAGCCTGGATCATTTTAAATCACTTCTTAAAACTCATTTTTACTCTGGCATTTAATTGGTGTATTGTTTTGTGTTCTGTTTTGTCATTTGAGTTGTTGTTCTTGTACAGCACTTTGGTGCGTTTTATACCTGTTTTAAAGTGCTATATAAATAACTTTGACATTGAACAAAATTGGTTATTGGTACAACTACTAACTGAAATATAACTTTAACTGTAATTCACTGCAATAAATAGTTAAAATCCATTTTAAACCAAATTTCTGGATATAGAGTGTAAAATATTAATTTTATATACTTTGTATATAAAATGTAAGCATTATATTCATGTTTACTTCTTTTTTACATATATGGATTTTGCACAGAAAGGTTCCAATTAAACTAATGCAAAAGTTTATTAAAAATCTAAAATTAAAATGAAGTTTATGTGTGAAATCAGTCAAAGGTTTTTTTTTTGAACGGTTCTTATTAAACGTTTAACCTAATATTTAAGTGATTTACATTTCTAACATATTTACAAAATAATATAATTTGATTATCTGTTATGCAAAGTTTCACAATGAAAACTACAATAAAAACTTAAAATAATAAGAAGGTTAAAAGTCTATCTTTTCAGGCTAACCTTTAGAATTGACAGTCCTCTATTTAAGTGAGTTTATTACTTTTTGTAAAATAAATTTTATTTCAGGAACAGAAACTTGTTTCAGCTGATCAATAAAGGAACTACAACCGCATAAACCTTGGTTTAACTTTTAAACTAAAATTTATATTAACTTTTTTCTGTGTATTTATGACATTTATTCTTTTCAAAGTTAAAACACCTTTTGCCTACAAAAGGTGTTTTACATATAAAACTACATTTAAACCAAAATAAAGCAGACTGAATTATTTTTGGAGGCTTAGCATTTAAATATGCAGTGTGGGTGATTTAAGACACCTTTGTTATTGTGCAATTTTTGTAAAGACCTTTAAAATTTGCATTTTAGTTACAACAGAAACTTAATTTAGGTTTAAACAGCGCCCTCACGTGATCAGAATCGGAACTACAACGTGTCAAACTGCGTTTTTACATTAAAACTGACATTTAATTTCGTTTTTTTCTATTCATTTACATAAAAATTTGAAGACTATTATTTTTTATTAACCGTAATATTATTGACTTTACTTTACAAACTGTGGTTTACATGATAGAGAGTTGCAAAATAAAATAAGCAAAAACGGGATACGAATTATTTTTTGGCAGTCTTACGTTTTGCATAGACAGTGTGGGTAAATTAAGTTGGGTTTTATTACTTTGCAGTCTTTGTAAGAAACTTTAAATTTGCATTTTTGTAAGCGGAGCGTGTCATGCTGGCCGCTGTGGAGTCTGAAATGAGATCCAACCCGTTCTCCGGCAGATCAACCTGCTCTCCGACAACCAACGCGGACTTTAAGCGGCAGGACGCGGCTCGGTGTCAGAGACCCGTCCGAGCCAGCCGAGCATGAAGGGAATAATGTTTAACCCCCCGCCTCGGATCCGTGAAAACGCCCCCACGGGTGACTCGGCAGCGGATCCTGTTCGCATCAACACATCCCTGCTGAGCCCGACGACCTGCGAGGCTCCCTGCGAAACGACGTGGCCGCCGCCCGGAGCCAGGATGCGGATCTCCAAGGCCAACAAGGGCGCGGTGGTGAGAGTGATCCGGCGGCATTCCTCCCCGCAATCGGCCAGCCTGGAGGAGGTCTGGAGTCCGAGAGAGGAGAAACCCCGGAGCCCCGAGAGGAAGAAGCCGGCGGAAGCTGCTAAAAACGGGGTTGAAGGGCAAGGTGGGGGGCCACCCCGGAGCAGGAAGAGCCGGTTTCGAGCCCCCGACGTGAGGACCATCTTCTCCCCCGGAGAAAAGGACCCCAGAGTGAAGGAGGAAACCGGGGAGGGACACACCTTCGAGCCGGGAGGCGAGAACAACTGGTGCGATGTGTGCTGCAATTACATCCTCCAACACGGACTCACCTGTGCAGGTAAGACGGTGGAGGTCCAAACTGCCTCATTAAAGACAAATACAAACCTCAATGAGTTTGGATTTTAAGCAACCGAAAATTGTGAGGTGAAAGAAATTACTTTTTTTTTTTTAAGGGAACAAATCAAACATGAAACCCAGTTTGTAGAACCAAATTTGACTTCATCTACGGCTGTCTTTTGGGATAAATTTACCCTGTACAGAAATTAAAAATGTTTCCCATCTTTCCTTCAAAAACAGTTAAACTCAGACTGAATGGAGACCAAAGTCTTGATTATTCAATTGGACTGAAGTCTTTACATCTCAGATCTTTAATAGTTTGGTTTTCTTTCTGGATCTCTCAGGTGATGAAAAGCATCCCTCACAGCATGATGTTTCAACATATGGTCTTCTTCCGTAATGTATTTTGGTTTAGGGCAAAATGTTAAACAGTCAGGGCTACTTCTTTAGGGTTACGAAGGGTTTTATGACTTCTTCCTCGATTAACGCTAGTCTTGTCTTGCCTGGTATAGGTAGCCATGTCTTTGTAGATTTGATTTAATTAAAATGCTCAAAGATTGGAACATTGTTTTATACCCTAAATCTGCTTTAGACCTTTCAACTCTAGGAAACCTAGGCCTTCAATAATAAGCTCCATTTTTACTTATGTCATATACAGGTGGACTCAATTTACCATTTAGGTCTGTTATACCAGTTTCCTTGGATTTTATTCAGATATCAATGTAAAAGGATTGAAAACAACTTGTCAGGTTTTTATTTATCTATGTGCAGTTTGAGGCTAGCTTCTTTAAACAGTTTATGTTCCTCTTGTTTAAGAACCATGATCTCTCCAGCAATTTAATAACAACACAAAACCCTTTTTTGTTGTTGCTTTAAGTACAACTAAGAGCCTAAACTCACAACTTCATTTTGTCATCCTATGAATCATATCGAAAAATGTATTAAATAATTTAATCTGGACATAATAGCCAATCTGTATTTGCAGCTGGGGTTGAAATACTTTGTAAGAACTGATTGATGTCAAGATAAAGTCGACATGATGACATGTGACAGCTAACTCAGTTTGGCGTTTGTAAAGACTGACTGCTCAGAAGTTGTAGGCAGGGCTCTGAAATGCTTGATGTCAGGAATGTGGACAGTATGCAGGTGAACTAGTTCAGGTAAAAAAAACTAGCCTGACTGACTCGTCTACAGACATTGGACTTCCCTCTCTGTGTGTGATGTTATCTGGCAAACAATAGGAGGAAGTTATGAAGAAGAAGTTTTGCCTCATGAGTATATTCTTCCATTTCGAAACTTGTATCACTTAGATTTTGATGCTGTGCCTTTTCCTCTCCTGTGTTTAGCTTCACTTTCAATATTATTTTTCACTAAAATAATAGCCAAAAATATGTTCTTTGTAAACATAGACAAACAATGTAGCACCAGCTAACTAGCTTAAATGTTATAGCACAGCTTTTGAAGGAATATTTTTGCTTAAATCCACAAATACTTAAGTTTCCTCTAAAAATGCTCACAACTGCCTGTTTTAATAGTTCAAACACCAAATATGCTTTCATATGCACTGATAAGCAGTACAAATATGTCATAGCACTACCAAATTAAGCTAACACCCAACTTCTTCCTTATGTTAGCTCATGTACCTTTATATACATGTAGCTACAGCCAATCAGCGCCAAGGAAAAAAAAGAATGTTCCACTGAAAAATCCGTGAATAGGTGAGTCAACAAATGCTGGACCGCAAACAGGCTGACGTCCACTGTAATCAATTTATTAGCTAAAATGAGGATGTAAGCTGATTACACAGGAGAAAACCAGAAACACACTTCCTGCTTTCCTATGCTTTGAAATTGACTAATGTTAGCTAACAGGCTAACAAGTTACAGCTAGTTTATGTGAAAAGCACACATGACATGTTTTTCCTGTCCAAATAAATAAAATAGATGGACTACAATGATAAAAACCTTAGTTCAGTCAATTTTAAGTGGCAGATCAATGACCTTAATAAATGAGGAAAACGATCATGTTTTACCTTTTTTGTTATATGAAGCTAGCGAGTGCTAACTTCATAAACCTAGTACTATTTAGCTAAGTTGCTATATTTAGTTTCAAATCCTGTGTACTTGTGTGTATATATTTCCCTTCTACTTTGACACCGAAGTGGTACAGACAAAAAGCTGTATTTTATTGATTTATAATTTATTGAATTTATTGTTGGCATAACAACTTATTACATGAATTGTGACAGCAATAATTTCAGGACTGCCTTTTTTAATAAGGAAAGCTAGCACTAGCTAGCTAACTAGCTGGTGTTAGTTTATGACAGCCCTAAAGCAAACATCAAACACTAGAACTTTTTGTTCTAATAATACTTTTAATTCAGAAAAACTTAATATCTCAATTTTTTGCTCTAATTATCTTATGAATTTGACTTGTTCATTTTAGCTAGTTTACACTTTGCACACATTATTAATATTATTTTTATATTATCCTTACAGAAAGACACGTTACAAAACACAATGTCCCAAAAACATCTTTTTTCCTTCTTTTTTTTCCTGTTTAACCTCCAGCAAATCAAAGAAATGAATAAGCAGCTACAAGAATAAACATTAAAGGAAAAACTTTATAGGCTTATGATTTTTTTTCCTTCACCACTGATATTTACATTGGTCACTTATTCACTTAGTATCGCAAGAAACAGTCACTTATAAGCCAGCAAGAGCAGCAGTTTTCCTCAGTTGAACATTAATTTTTCCAGATGAGCAAGTCTTCTTTGGATATTGAAATATTTTAAATTTTGCAATGTCTTTTTGTTCGAGTTTCTCTGTATCATAAACTGCCTGTTTTTTTTTGTTTTGTTTTGTTTTGTTTGACAAAGAATTCACTGTTCAGCAGGCTAATTGGGAAAAGGAAAGACAATAATGATCCAGAATATAAGTACATATCAAGACAGAAATGATTCCCCAACCTTAAAAATTAACCTTTTTCAAATGAATCTCACAACTCAAAATTTAATTAAATCTTGTAGAAAACCTCTGAGATGAGTTGTACTGCAGATAATCCAGGATTTACAGATTATACAGAAATTACCGCTAGTTTAGAGCTTTAATAAAGTCAAAAACTGGAATCAGACCAAAAACTGATTGATGCATTTCTATTAATCAAAAACACAAAATCTTACCAGGAAGATTTTGTCTAGTTTAAATATCTTAGTTCACTTAAAATAAGACAAAACTAACTTACAAGTAACTTCAGCAAGAAATAGGAGCTTGTTTTAAGACAATAATTCCTTAATATTGGTTTAAAGAAAAGTACTAGTTCCACTCACTGACTTTTTTACACTTATAACAAAAATATTTTCCATATTTTAAGTGAAAAAAAGTCAGTAGAACTAAAACTTTTTAAAATCAATATTATTAATAAAGAAGTTACTTGTAAGTTAGTTTTGTCTTATTTTAGGTGTACTAAGATATTTACACACTTTAAATAAAATACTTGGTTAGATGTTGTGTTCTTGGAGTGCAAAGCACGTCTTGTATGATATAGTAATGTTCTTTATATTGCAGTTATGAAAGTTTTACATATTAAACTGTATCCTACATGTTTTTCCCAGTGATGAATTGAATGAATTTGTTTAATCATTTGAGTTTTGCAGCTCCTGTTTCAGTGTTTGTGCCTCTGAGTGTGAGGACTGATGATGGCGTCTCTCTTTGTTTGGTTCTTGTTCTTTGTCTGTTTTTCAATGAAGTGCAGTAACAGAAACCTGCAAACAGAGCAGGGATCTTTGTTTGATTGGCTTTAATGTTGCATTAGAGCGTGAGTTCATTAGCCAAGAGGCATTTCTGCAGGAAACTGGAGCTTTGGCTCACTCGGTACACTTTTATTTTCATGGAACAAGTCTCTTTAATGAGACAATTATTTCATTTTGAACTCTCATTGACAGCATTGGTTTACATTTTGAGAATAAAGACTTAATATTCTGACTTCATTCTGAAAATATTACTTCATTCTCATATTATTTACTTTATTATGGTATTATTTTGACTTTATCCTCATGCCAGTTAATTCTCTTAATATTATGACTTTATTCTCTGGATTTTATTTTTTATTGTCGAAATAATACAAGAATAAAGTTGCAGAAATACGACTTTATTATCTTTATGATGAAGTCATAGTATTATGACTGTAGTCTTATTACGACTTTCTTCTAGTATTATTTTGACTGTATTCTCATAATATTATGACTTTTTTGGTGTATTACTTTATTCTTGTAATATTATTTCTTATTTTTGTCTTGGTATAGTTCTAAAAGAAAGAAAAAAGAGAATTAAGCGATTAAATGAAAAATCTACAGAATGTAGCAGATTTTTTTTTTTATCCAATTAATCGTCCGAATATTCAATTGAATAATTGATTACTGAAATAATCGTTGGTTTCAGATCTACAAATGGGTTAAACTAATTCTTCAAACATCCATCCCAGCATCTTAGATGGAAAAACATAACCCTTATATCTATACTTTTGTCTTTATTAGAGGAAATCCGCAGTAAATCCTCCCTCAGCGCAAACGGTGCGGAGGTTTCACATCGTTAAATCTCATTTTGAACCTCTGTGAGAAATACCGGAGCTGATTGTCCGATTCAGTATAATCCGACTCCACCGGCTTTCAGTGGGCGTCTGTCAGCTGCCGGAGTCTTGTTTGTTCAGTGGCTCTGACAGTTTGGCTCCACGGCCCCCACGGACAGATAATGACCCGCAAAGAGAGCCGGTGGATCATTGCGGACGAAGCCGCCGGCCGAGAAGCGTCTCAGGGAAGATGATTCTCCGGATGTGGGCGTCTGTAGACGGGAGTTATCGTTCGGAGGCGGAAACATCCGAGCAGAGTGCGGGGCGGATGGGGTTTGTTGAATACTTTGGGAGAAGGGTGAGGAGAATATCCCGGTTTTTCTGCCGCTTTCCAAAGGTGGTGCGACGCTCCGCGGGTCTGGAAGTTGGTCCGCT